AAAATTGATGGTTCTGTCTCCTCCATAGCTCACATACTTTTCTCCTAGCAGAAACAACTTAGTAATCAAATGGCCACAGGAATAACAAAAGAATCCAAGATGTCAAAATGGAGGGAAATACTGACATGATCTGATGTGCAGATCCTTTGTATCAAATACTATCACAAATAAAACCTCAATGTGAAAAGCAGACAGAAGTGCTAGGTGGTTCCTCAGTTGAACTAAATCTTCAATACCTGCAAAAATGACCTTTGTTCACAGACTGCTTTATCACCTCCACCGAGGCAGGTGACTCACTGGAGCTGAGAATAAAACCTCATCATTCTTCTTCATGATCACAGAGACTGAGGTCCAGTGTGCACAGAGCCCAAAGCCCACTTTGCCCAAAGCTCACACAAGTAGACTGTGACAGTAGAGGACTAGAACCCTATACCATGTTCCTCACATAGCAGCACAAAAGAAGTTGCCTTGTTTAGCAACTCCCTGGTTCACTGCAAATTTGACCACATTCTCTCCTTCTTGGATTCCATTATGCCCATTCATAACCTTTGTAGTATTTCAGAATTAGAATGATGGCCTAGAAGAAAACACAGATCTGGAAAAGTTTATTATTATGAATATTTTGCTGTTGGTGTGACTGGGTGGCGATTAAGAGCCCAAAGCTTGCTTTGAGCTCCGGTCCTGATCTCAAGTTTGTGAGTTTGAGCCCTGAAATGGGCTCTGCACTAACAGTGCACAGCCTTCTTGGGATTCTGTCTCCCTCTTTCAGTCCCTCCCCTGCTCAGACATGCTCTCTCTCTCTCTCTCAAAATAAATAAACATTTGAAAAAAAAAAGACTATTTGCTCTTTCAGGATCTCTCATTTCAAGTTCTGCTATATATCCAGTTCACTACTTGTCCAAAAACGATATGAAATTTCAGCATTCACCCCATCTAGAGACCTGTTACATTATAACCCTAAAGCAAAGGGGAACCACATTGCAATAACCACAAGGACCAGAGTGGAGGAAAGGGGGAGAAAGAAAAGAGGGAATGATATTCACCTCTGTTTGGATCAGTCAGTGCAAAGCTTTTCTTCTTTCCTTTTCTTTCTTTTTTTTTTTTTTTGTAAATGACTTATTTGTTCCCTTTGTTTAACTCATTTCATAAAATGTTTACAGAATACCTGTGCCTGTGCTGTGCTAGTACCAGTTATCACATCAGAACAAACAATAATGTTTGGAGTGTGATTCACAACTTGAAGTCCACTTCCTTTCAGAGATACTATCTCATAATCTGTACATTTACGCTAGGGATACCAGTTCCCTTGTGCCATGTACTCAGTGTTTGCATCCTGTGAATGAATCCAAATGGGATTGCACGCTAGGAATGCTTCAGTGCTGAAATGCTCTTTCTAGAAGCTGCCTCTCTTCTTCCTCTCAAGTCCCATATCCCCAACCCACCGCAAAACCCAAGGGAGGGGTGTTGTTGACAGATGGTCCTATCCGAAGCCTAGTTCAGCCCTTGAATACATACCAGTCGGGCACCTGCTATGTGCCAAGCACTCTTGCAGGTCTTGGGCACAGAGTCATGACCAGAATAGACTAAATTCCCTGAATTCTGTGGTGCTCACATGCTCATGGGAAAAACAGAAAATAAATAATAAGCTGGATGATTTCAACTAGCCATCAATATTGTGAAAGGAACACAAAAAACATAGAAAAGTAATATAACACTCAGCGTGGAGACTGGATCCCATGATTAATCAGGAAAGAGTCCTCCAAGAAGGGGAACGTAAGCCCAGACCAGGACCAGGACCTCCCAACTTGCTGTGTCCTTAAAGCTACTGGACCTTTTAAGATCTCAGGTGAAAGAGCAATTTCCTAACGACAGGCCAGGCTACCGTCTCCTTAGTAGATGTCCAGACTTCCTAAAGACGGACATGAGTAACAGGGAGGAAGGGCAGGGTAGCTACAGAGACAGAAGCAACATTGTAATTTAGTTCCGTGAAGAATTGCTCAGACTTTCAGGGTTCGCTGGCAATAGCATAACCACACCTTAGTTCCAGGAGAAAGCGGTGGGAGCAGCCTGGAGCTCCAGGTAATGGGCAGGCAGCCGTGTGAACCAGCTGGCTGGGCGCTCCAACAGTGGACAGCTTGTTTACTCTCTCACCAGGAGGACAGAGGTAGAAGTTAAGTCTGTAATCATTATCAGCCAGATCAACGCGTTCTAACTGGCTTGCTTTCGTCATTTTGCCCCAGCCGTGGTTCAATGGCCTGTGAATGTTTACCTTCAGTAGATTTTTTTTAAAATAAATCATTTCATGGTCAAAGGAAGCTTTTGTTACTTCATAGTCTACTCCTCTCTGATTTGCATTGCTCAATGAAATTGAAAAATTTGTATTTGATGCAGCCACTGTGTGACTCACACCAAAATTGCTGGAAAAAGTTTGTCCTAAGTATTCTTTAACCCTAGAGTAACACATTTGTTGGGAATGTGCATTATTACCATTTTAGAGCTGAACTTTCACAGATCTAAAATTATGCCTATTTCTTTTTTTTTTAAGTTTATTTATTTATTGGGGGGGGGGGAGTGGTGTGTAGAGAGAGAGGGAGAGAAGGAATCCCAACCAGGCTCCACATGCTGTCAGTGCAGGACTCAGTCCTATGAAACTTGATATCATGATCTGAGCCAAAATCAAGAGTCAGACGCATAACTGACTGAGCCACCCAGGGTCCTAGTTCTACAAAAAATTATGCCTATTTCTTAAAAAAAAAAAAAAATCAGTGCTTAGGTCAATCCTTAAGATATGGAAAAATTGTAGGACATTTCTTACGTGGGCCAGCACAGGAGGCTGGAGTCAGCAAGTAGTGCTTGATAGAAGAAGAGGACTTCAGGAATGGGGAGGATTTCAAGAGGAAGAGAAGTATTTCAAGTGAGGGGACTAACAGAGAACACACCCAGAGCTGGACAAGGACCAGGACATTTTCATGCGATAGGGTGGGGCTGTGAACAAATGCAGCTGTGGTTCATTTGGAGAGCTGATGGGAAACGGTCCCATTTATATTGCACCATGCCTACAATGGGCACAGCGTGTTTTATCAGCTACAGATGTCTACCAGAAGAATTTTGTAAGACTTTGGCTCATATTGATTTTCTAGGGTCCTTAGTGGACCTAGCCAAATTGTTGCTTTATAAATATCTGTTGTATTTCATGTAACCTGAGCAGTATCTTGATGGCTCATGGGCTGGGTGTGTGAATGTGAACATAAAGGCTACCAGAAAGCTTCCTTCCTCAACACAACATCACTGCAAAGTCACTGAGACAGCAGTGTCCCTGAAACACTAAGACAAACAGAAAAGCTTCTCAAAACTTATGAACTTAACATTCTTCTGTTCATGGACACCTCAGAGATGAATGATTGTCAATATTACCTTCTACACTGTTTTGGTGCTTTTCTCAGAGAAGATAAGGACGTTATCCCAGTCACTTTACTTAATATCCTAGCAAAATTAGGAGTTTGAAATTGCACTTTATGATTTTTTAATATTTATACATACATAACTGGTAATCTTATGTCTTTGAAGTCATTGGTAGACATTCCATCTCTCCTAATGTTTGTTCACTACAATCACTCAGTCTAAAGTTCACCTTCGGTTATGGATTAACTCCTAACCAGGAAGTACTTTTATAATATGAATGCATACATTCAAAGACAATAGTCTCCTTTCTCCCTCAAAACTTGAGTCACTCATGACTGAATGCCTTTAATAATTTTAGAAACCCACAAATCTGAATTAGCCATGGATCTTAAAGAAGGAATTAGCGAGGCCCAGCCTCTTGGATTAAAGACCCCAAATAGAAACAAACAAACAAACAAAACAAAACCAGAAATCCATGTCAAACCATAATGAATGTGACCAGGACCTCTGGTGGCCAAATGTATTCCCGACTCCTACTCTAAGCACTGGAATCTTTATAGGAGCCACATCTCTTCACTTACAACTAGAATAAGGGCAATCATGAGAGTTCTTACAACCTACCTCTCTCCATATTTCACAGAACCACCATATTGTTAATGTTAGCGAATGTCCCCATTTAACTGTAGGACCTACAAAAAAATTCTCCTTTGTGCTGTGAAGACAGATTTCTTTGAAGTAATTTAGGACTACACACCTAGAAGCCACCTAGGGAAGTTATAGAACTTTCTCAGATTTTCATATACCAATTTTGAGTGGGACTTCCCCTGACATATCTGGATGAGGCAAATAACCAGATCTATAGAAGACATCTGTATGCTTCATCTTGTAAAGTGGAATAGCCTAGTATATTGACATTCTTTTAGATTCAAGGAATATTAAAGCAATTTGATCTTAAAAATAAAAGTATTAATTAGTACTATATTTTTGTCAATGAAGCTATAAAGAGTGCAGACCTTTTCTGTACTCTTAACTCTTTTCTGTAGATTTCAACTTCTTCATCTGTATACTAGGGATAAAAATAATATCTGTGGTAAAGGGTTGCTATAGTGTAATGAAGGTTGGAGTTTGCATAAAGATGTCTGGTACATTATCACTCAAAAACCAAGAGCTACTACAATGATGGAGATTCCTTAATTTCTACACATTTCTCTTCTCCCCACCTCACAGCATCTATATATATGTATTCACAAGTAAACATGGATAAGTGATTAGTCTGGCCAGAGAGAGGATGTGTTTCTTAGCAGAGAACCTAAAATTCAAAATGGTATTTCCAGGCAACTTTTTTAGAGCCAGGGATGCAGTGGGAGTTTTACAGTCTCTTCTGGAGCCTGATACATCTGGCAGGAAGTGAGTTATTTGATTATGACTTTTGCCATCGGTCAGCAGATTTCAAAAGATCCTGAGATCGACTGAATTTATATTCTATTCTGTGCATTTCAAGTTACAGACCACAGAATACAGAATCCAAATGAATTTTGAGTCTTTCAAAAATGTAGACTAACTGGTATGTCTTTCTTCTCCCCCTCCCTTCCCCACAGGTTAACCTCAGAGCCACAGATGTGAGGCTTATGCGCCAGTTGCTTGTTATCAATGAGAGCATTGAGTCCATCAAGTGGATGATTGAAGAGAAGGCCACCATTACCAGCCGAGGAAGCAGTCTCAGTGGCAGCCTGTGCAGTTTACTGGAGAGTCAGAGCACCTCCTTACGTGGCAGCTACAATAGCCTACATGATGGCAGTGATGGGCTGGATGGCATCTCTGTGGGGAGCTTTCTGGACACGTTGGCAGATGATGTCCCAGGCCATCAGACCCCCTCAGACTTGGACCAATTCAGTGACAGCTCCATCATAGAGGACTCACAATCACTGCACAAGCACCCCAAACTGGATTCTGAATACTACTGCTTTGGCTAATGACCCAGTTTTTTGCATGGGATTGGTGTGCAATTAACTTGTATCCTTCTTCTCCGCTGCTATATTTTTGGTGTGATTTTTTTTATATGACAACCTTTTTAAAAGAAGCTTATTTTGAAACTGCTTGATAATAATTCTGTTGCTCCTAATATTTCTCATCTGGATTGATTGATCTTTCTCTCATACATCTCTATTTTTATTTATTACAATGATTTTTTCTCCCTTCTTTACAGTGGCACAAACAAAGTAGGGAGAAAAAGAATAAAGCAATAATTATGTTTTTGCTTTTGTTTTCAGAGCAAGGGGTCAGGGATTACCAAAACAAATCTTTGCTAAATTTTACAATAAACCAAAGTCTGATAACAGTATATTTTGTTGTTTGTATGCTTAAATGATGCAAAGTTTCATTTTCCAGAACATACTGAGAATTAATAGAATTTGTATAGTAGGTTGGACAAAAGAGTTATAACGAATTTAGGCATTATTTCTAGGCAAAACTTCCTAGTGCAAAATAAACAATACAGCTAGCCACACACTTCTATGTGACAGTTATTTGGAAGACACAACTATATGCAGTCTGCTTACTTCAACTTTGAGTTCATACTTCAGATCGTACTTTTGTCATTAGTGACTGTAACTCAAACTATATAGGCTTACCTGTGTGATAATATATATGATTCTCCCAAATTTCAAAGAACAATTGAGGTTAGGTACATGAAGGCAATTAGAGGTTCAGGTGTTCAGAACTGTATTTTGAGATTTTGTTGACATTTGTAGGTGTTTTGCTATTCAGATGTGATATAAAAACATAAATCACATATATGGATCGATGGATGGAGTGGGAATTAAAACCACTATTCATTTATGAAGTCTAATATGATATCCTTTCATCCTGGAGTAAATAATATCTTAGTTTTCTAAAATGACATCTGAAAATATAAATCATCTAGTAAACAAACATTTCATTTTGGTGTAGTATTATGAATCCTCCACATTTCTTTTACCTTGATGATTCCTAGTGAGTGAATTTATTGAGATTTCAAATTGTTCTTTGTAAATATGTTTCTGCACTAAACACCTTACAATATGAATCAAAAAGTCTTCTTATTTATAACTGAAAAATGTCCATACTCACGAAAGGGCTTCCCCCAAATTTCCTTTATTTCCTTTGTTGAAATATACCTAATACACTCTTGTCAAATGTATTGTTTCCAGAACATATGTTATTCCATTTCCAATTAAAATCTATAGGGTTTATATTTTACACCAGTCTTTTTTTTTCATAAATTGCTTAATATAATCTACATCGCAACAATCTCATGATTTGAGAATTGTCTCTCTTCTATATTTGAGGAAACTGAAGCACATGGAAAGTAGGTAGCTGGATCAAATCACCCAGTAAGTGTCAAGACTGGGACTTGAACTTGGGTCTCTCTTATCCATGACAATAACACTCAATAGCTCCATCGATACCTATTGAAGTTAAATAATAAAGCATGGATGAAAAAGTAAATATAGACCCTTTACCCAAAAAAAGTGACCAATATTTTCCTTCCAATCGGTGAGAACCCACATTTCCCAATGCTGAGCTTTCTAAGCCCTTTCCTGAATTCACATGTCCAGAGTCAGTTTTGTGCCTACAGATCAGTTGGGAATTTGACATGACAACTGTTACTACTTTATTTCCCCCTTCCTGCTTATTTTTACTTTCAACTTAGTAAAGGCTGGTTGGTTGGCTACTTTGTTCGGTTTTAACCTGGAATTAAACCAAGCCATTTTTAGCACAGACTGTTTACCAAATTAAAATCCAAGAATATTCATTATGACCTACCAGAAAAATATTCTTAGAACCAAGACTGATGAATTCAAGCAAAGGGTAATGAAATATGTAACCATATGCCTATAGCACTGCAAGGAGAACATCCTCAATAAGAGGGAAAGAGGCAGACAGCAAGCTTATAAGAGGCATCAAGGGAAAATTCTCACCCCATCACAACCCAACATTTGACTAGAACAAGCCAGGTACATGAACAATGATTTCTGTCCTCCGTTCATAGCTGTAGATTATAAATCCAATGTGGCAAATTTATTTCACATTCTCCCGTTCCTAATTAGTTTCCCTTGCTACTTGTCAATCCCAAGCCCTCTATATGTGTCCCATCTGAGGAAAGAAAATGATAAAAGCAAAAGAGTATAATATGGGAGAACTGTGTGGAATAGTTTTCATTTATCCATTGTATTTTAAGGGAACTGTCATGAACATTGGCAGAATACCCGAGAATTTTTTTCGTTCTATTAGTTTGGTTCTGTATATGCTTTACAGTTGTTCCTATTGATTTTATTTTTTGCAAAATACACCAAATGTAAAGTCTATGATTTAGGTATTACAGTCATATGGATCCAACAATGTTTTGATTGTTGATTTTACCAAGAGGAGGGGAATATACAGTTAAACAACACTAATTACTAATATATATATTTTTTTTGCCTCAAAAAAATGAATGAATTTTCAACTAAAGAATCCCCATAACTAATATCTGACCTGGAGAATATGATATTTGGTCTCCGTCAGCGTCATGAGAAAATGAAGTAAAAAGTGAAAGCAAAAGTGCCTTGAGAACTATTCTACCTGCACTGAGTTGCCTTCTCCCAGAGAAACGGAAACTGTCCTTGGCTCTATAAACGTCTCCATTTTATAGACCAATCTGTCTTATAATGAGAAGGAGATAAATGGAGGTAAGGAATTTTGAAAATTTAAAGCTAATACATTTTAAAAGTATGGCAAATAAAGAAACACTAGATGACCAACTTAGAAGACCTTTCAATTTATTTTAAGTAATCTCTACATCCAACATGGGGCTCAAACTCATAACCCCAAGATCAGTTCAAATGCTTTATAGGCTGAGCCAGCCCTGGCATTCTGACCAGCTTAGAAGTCTTAATTAAACTTCAAAACCTCCAATAATTATATACCATTCAGCCCCAAATTGCATAACATAAAGCTTTAAGTATTTGTCAATATTTAGAAATGCAATAAGGATTCTTTGCTGTTGGGTGAATTATAAAGGCATTTGAAGCTTCAATCAGGCATTTAATTCCAGTAAAACACAATTTACTGGAATATCCCTAATTCCAGTAAAACACAATCACCTCCATTGTGTCAAAAAATGGTTACTCTGAGTCCTCATTTTACTGACACCTCAACAGCAGATGACACATTAGAGTACTCCTTTCTAGAAAGAATGTCTTCATTTGGCTTCCAGGACATACCCTCCCTTGGATCCCATCATCCTCCACTTGCCTGCTTGTTGATACACTCTGTTGCTGTTTTCCCTTTGTATTCCTGACTTCCAAACACAAGAATACTCCTTTTCTCAATCCTGGTAACACTTCCATTCTAAAATGTCTCCCTTGGGGATTTCTTCCAGATCCAGAGCTTTAAATGGCATCCATGTACTGAGATTCCGAAAAGAATATCTCTTGCTCCAGTTTCTCTCCTGAACTCAAGTCTCCCATGTTTCTCTTCCTCCATAAGATTTTGACTTACTGTCTGGTAAGGAACAATTTAAACATATACAAAACTGGGATTTTGTTCTTATCTTATAATTTTCTCTAGTTCAGTGAACGGTGTCTCCACTCATCAAATGCTCAGCCAAATCCGTAATTGCATTCCTTCTCTCATACCACATCCAATCCATCATACAAATCATACAAGCCTTGCCTTAAAAATGTGTCCAGAATGGACTACAAATTCTTCCCCTTACTACTATTACCAAACTAATCCAGGTCACCATCACTTCTTCCTGGGTCTATTCCAATATCCCTGTCTTGTTTCATTGCTTCCACCATTAACCTTCTCAAAGTTAGTATTCAACACAGCAAACAGAATAATCTTTTCAAGATATAAGTCAGATATTTACAGCCTCTTTTCCAACCCTGTAATGTACCTCTATCTCTTTCTCAGTATATAATCCAAATCTTTACCACAGACTACAAAATCCTATGAATTCTGTCACCTTTCTACATGTCTGACTTCATTTGATACCTCTGAGACATCTGGTATCTCTGAAGTCTGACTTCATCATCTCTCCCTCTCTCATTGTGAGCCAATTTGGATCCTTACTCTCCTTAAATATCTCAAAATCCAAGGCATGTTCCTAACTCCGAATCTTTGCACATATCTTTCATCTTTCTAAAACATTCTTCTTCCAGGGACATCTGGATGGCTCAGTCGGTTCAGCATCTACTTTGGCTCAGGTCATTATCTCATAGTTAGTGGGTTTGAGCCCCAGATCGGGATCTGTGAGGAGAGCTCAGTGCCTGGAGCTTGCTTCAAGTTCTTTGTATGTGTCTCCTCCTGCCCCTCCCATGCTTGTTTTCTCAATCTCTCTCTCTCTCTTTGTCTTGCTCCCTCTCTCTCAAAAATAAAATAAAACATTAAAAAATTTTTAACAATCTTCCAAATACGCATAAATCTTGTTTCCCCCATTCTTTTTAGTCTCTAGACAAACGTTATCCTGTCTGAGAGGATTTCTTACATAGCACACTAGCACATTCTGTCACTATCCTGGTTTATTTTTCCTCATATTATCACTTAATATATATCTCTGGTGTGTACTTTCTTCTTCCCCGCACTCAAATATAAGGCCTATAAGAATAAGAACTGTGTTTTGTTCACTGCCATTTATAAACCACCTAAAAGAATGTCTGTCACATAGCAGATAGAAAATACATATTTTTTTTTTAATTAAAGCAATTAAAAACATTTGCTGGGTGCCTTTTAGGTGTTGGGCAATGGCTGTGCTAAGTTGTGATGATACAGAAATGAGGAAAGTATGAGTTCTGCTTTCAAGGAACTTATTTTTATTATATGTTTCTCTAGAAAGAAATATAATGCCCCACCCTCCTAAAGATGTCCATGCCCTAGTTCCTGGAATCTGTGAATGCTATACATGGGAAAAGGGACTTTGTAGATGTGATCAAGTGAAGCATCTTGAGATGGAAAGATGACCCTGGATTATCTGAGAAGATCCCATGTAATTATAAGGGTCCTTATAAGTATGAGACAGAAGTGTCAAAGGGAAAGTCATGAGGACATTAAACTTCTGGCTGTGAGAGTAGAAGGACCACGAGAAAAGAAATTCAAGAAGCTGAAAAAGGCCAAAGAATAGATATCCCCCTAGAGCCCTGTTTACATCTTGATATTAGCCAAGTATGATCTATTTTGAATGTCTGATGTACAGAACTATAAAATAAATTAAGATTTTAAGCCACTAAGTTTCCAGTAATTTATTAAAGCAGCAATAGGAAATTAATACAAATCTTGGTAACTGGAAGTGGAATGAAATGTTACTGTAACAAATAACTAAGAAAGTGGAAGTGGCTTTGGACTTGAGTAAAGGGTAAGAACTGGACCATTCTGAGGAGGATGATAGAAAAGCCTCAACTGGAGTGGAGCTGAGCAGACTAAAAGGAGGAAGTGTTCATCTAAAGTTGGGATGATCTGTACCTGTAGGCTTGGTAAAACATCCTGCAAAGACATCTGGATGGGGTGTTTCCTTTCTGTAAAGATTAAGTGCAGACTAACATGCTTGAATAACTACAGAACCATTCATAGAACTGCAATTTCTTCTGATTCAGAAGAAACAAGCTAGAGAACACAAGGTGGAGAGTCCCAAATATCACTACAAATAGGAAAATAAAATAACCGAAGTCCCAACAAGAGAGACCAAGAGATACCATTAAAAAAACCCTATCTTAAAGGGTGGGCCCTGGACAGTCAAAGAGTCTTCTCGGATACAGCAGCGCTCATAGCTGCAAAGAGCATAACAGGCCTTTAAAACTAACAAAAGCCAGAAATCTAAGTAAAATGATGAAATGAAAGAGCTCTCCTCCAAAGAAACTCCAAGAAGAGATGACAGCTAATGAACTGCTCAAAACAGATATAAGCAGCATAACTGAATAAGATTTTAGAATAATAATGGTAAAATTAATAGCTGGGCTTGAAAAAAACATAGGGGACATCAAAGAAACTATGGCTACAAATAGAATGGAAAATAGAAATAGGCATGAAGATTTAAAAATGTGATAAATGAGATACATAATAAATTAGAGGCCTCCAATGCACGAATTGAAGAGGCAGAAAGAAGAATAAGTGATTTAGAAGCCACCATTATAGAAAAACAAGAAGCTGACAAAAAAAAGACAAACTGATCCAGGAACATGAAAGAAGAGTTCGAGAGCTCAGTGATACGGTCAAACGCA